GCGCGCGTGCACACGCGCGCACGCACACACACACACGCGCACACACACACACACACACACGGCGCCAAAGTGATGAGTCAATTTTGGTGTGCCTGAAGCTGCTTCAGAGGTGGTTACGACAAGTGAGGGCAGGTGAGGGCGGGTGAGGACGAGCGAGGGCAGGCAAAGCGGATGAGCAATCCATCAGAAGACTGGGGGGCTCGGAGTTGTGGGCATTGGGGTTGCCAGAGCGTATTTGCTGCTCTTACCTTCACCTGAGGAGACTGTAGTTTCTGGTACATCTCTAAAGAGTAGTGATGCAGCCACACCTCCACAAACATCTGTCGCACGCACACGCACATCGATATTTGAAAGAGTCCCTTTTTTTCAGTCATTGCTTTCAGCGAAGGCAAGGCACCTGCAGCAGCGTTTCGGACCTCCAGATTTCCTGGGCGGCGGGGTCGGCGTTGACGGACGGCTGATGAAAGATGTGATGCTTCAGCAGACTGGGACTGTGGAGGCCGTAACCTGCCAATGAGATGTTGGACGACCTGCGCGGGCGTTCGGTAGATGAGTTTCCGTGACGACGTTGACATTTGACAACATTGACACAGGGTGTGAAATGGTCAGTTGCATAACACAACGATGGGAGAGTATGAGCGGTATGCAGGTGATCCGCCCGTCGGCGCGCGGATACCTTGGAGTAGGTGCGCTGACGGAGCCCCTGTTGTCAGAAAACGGGGACGGGGGCACACTTCCTTCGGTAGGCAGGAAGTACTTGAGGTACATGTCCACCAGCACGAAGTAGGCGCTGTCAGTGCTGCCGCCGTGTTGGCCCACAGGCAAGCTCTGGAAAATCATCCAATCTCATCACAACTCCAAACTGTGAATGTGCGTGCGTGCATGATTAACGCTTCTCTCACCTTTGGCGTAATGAGACAGGAGGCAAAGTAGAACATGAAGAACTCAAAAGGATATGCACTGCGTTGAGGAAAAAGTTTAGCCGGCATGTGAGAGTTGAGCCCAGTTGCAAACGTGTCAAGCGCCATGTAAGGCGTGAAGGATACTCAGTGCCATGTTGAGAGTCAGCATGCCAGACATGGGAAAGTGAGGCCGGTTGTGAAAGAGCGGACAGTCGGGAAGGACGCCTTCCTGGATGGACGTCTTCACCGGCGCCTGCACGTGAAAACGTACAACAGAGCACGCCAAATCCATGAAGAGATCCATTGCAAACAAACTCGAATAATCGCCCAAGACTCCAACGACAAGACGGGGGATGGTCTTACCGGCAGATAATTGACAGGCACTTCATATTTGTACTCTTCTGCTTGAAGTTTGTAAACCAGTTTCATCATGGACCCACTGAAGAAGACAAATAGAGGCTCATCATTTTGTTTATGCGGAAACGCACACATCACTGTCATGTGCGGATGCAATGAGTCACCTGGGCTTCAGGAAGTCCACGACCAGTGCAAAGTCGCTGCATCGCGAATGGAGAAGGCGAAGGTTCCATCCTCCCAGGATGCCGTCCAGGCTTCCGAAGACGCTCTCCACTAACCACGAGAAGATGGCGTGCAGCTCCTGAAGCGGCCAGCAAAATAATGATCGCTCAATTGATTCTTTTGTAATGACACATCTTTGCCCGATGGCGAATGGAAAAACACTGCAAGGATTAGCATATGTGTCTTGGGGGGATTTTCGTAGGTTTCACTTGTGGCCAAATATGCCAGGCACTGCATTTGGTTTTCACCGTCATTTATAGCCAGACACAAGAGGAGAGCACAGTCGCAGGTCTTTGGGCAGGACAGCTCTTCCAACCGCCTCCTTCCACTGTTTCCTTCACTTTCTTTCATTCGGCAAGCTTTGGAGTCTTACCTGACTTTCTTTACTCTCCTTTGATTGAAAATGACATCCAAAAGCAATTTGGCATTTGGACTCCTTTTTGCTGATGCTAGTAGTAGTTTGCAATTGTTTTGGCAGCAGATATGCAAATGTAGTTTTGACAAAAAATATTCAACTATTTAAGTAAGTTTGGAAAAACCCTTATGTGTGCACCCGGACTCCTTTTTGCTGATGCTAGTAGTAGTTTGCAATTGTTTTGGCAGCAGATATGCAAATGTAGTTTTGACAAAAAATATTCAACTATTTTAGTAAGTTTGAAAAACCCTTATGTGTGTACCCATGCGAACAAGTGATCTTGGGAATACCAAACAACAGGCTTGACAAATGCACCATAAGCTGTGAAGATCACGTCGAGTGTTTTTCGCTTGTACCTTTGCGTGATAGTCTTCGATTATCTTGGTGAGATCCTGGCATCGCTGAGCCAAAGTTTTGTTGGGTGAGTCCACTTTAAGGTTGGCCTGAAAGCACCACACACACACACACGTCTTAATTTCTTCCAAGCAATCGATCAGAAATCTGTCAATCAATCGGGCCTCACCAGGAGAAAGCCAGGATGCTGTAAGCTTGGAGCTGCCATCAAACAGCAGCTGGCAGCCCAATTCGTCCTCCAAAGTCTCCTTCGCTCCTGAGCCAATCGCAAAGCACAGTCAGACAGTGACTGGTCGCCGGGGAATGTCAGTTTTTCAGTGAGGCAATGACTGATCGCCCGAGTTTTGAATGAAGAATGTAGAATAACATGTTTTGGAACGTGGGGCGTCGTCCTCCAAAGTCTCCTTCGCTCCTGAGCCAATCACAAAGCACAGTCAGACAGTGACTGGTCGCCGGGGGATCTCAGTTTTTCAGTGCGGCAATGACTGGTCGCCCTTTTGAATGAAGAATGAAGAATAACATGTTTTGGAACGTGGGGTGCAAAGTCCACCAAAAAAAAAAATAAAAAAAATAAAAAAACTGGCGCCCAGATTCGAACTCCCAACTGCAGAGCTAGGAAGCAGCTGTGCTAACCACTCGCGCTCTGCGCTGAAGCCTTCATGATAATTTCAGCACATTTAACCAAAATATTTTTGACAAATTCAATTGTCACTCATCAGAGGTGCTGGCGGCCGTAAAGAAGTCACTTTCTTTTTACTTGATTTAAGTCAGCAAAGTAGCTATCAGTGATTAGCATCAGACACTGGGTTAGCAAGCTTAGAAAACAAAACGAAGACAAAATTGTTGCGATCATCAAACGGTTGAACGTTGTCCCGGTGACTGACCTTCTGTGCGCCTTCACAGATGGGAAAAAAAAAACGTTGGATAAACTTTTTTTAGTCGTGTTTTCACGTCAAGCAACAGTTTCCAAACCCCCGCTGCAGCCTTCTTCTTCTTCGTCGTCGTCTTCTTCACTTGAGGTTGCAAATGAGTTTGAAGTGTAGTAACGCCCCCTGTCAAACGGAGGATGCACAGCGCGCTGTAGCAACCCAGCAGAGCTACGTGCCTACGTGGTGGCCATATTGGCGGGGGCGGCGTTCTCAAAGGTCATGCAAGAATATTGATATTAAGCAAACCATAACTTGCTGCAAACATTATCTAATTATGGAAACTAACCAGAGGGGAGCACGCTTCGCTTCTCCAAACTCACCAATCTCAGAGAAGGGCGTCAGAGTGAATTTTCGACTGCACCGTGTGGGACAGTCTATGCACAGCTTCTTTTTGATTGGTGCTTGTCTTGGGTGCCTTGGAAAATCCAGTGACGCTTGTGCACTATTCTAATAATGGTGAGTTCGGAGAGGCAAAGTTATCACACGTCTCACTCTCCATTTTTCTTCCAAAAATCCAAATTATGGAATTGGTGCAAATTTTCTCAATGACAAGAGCAGAAGAAGAGGAACATGCTTGTTCAAATGGAATGTTGGCAGCTGGGTATACTATTGGTTTCCTGAAACGTGGAAGTGTAAAAATGTATGCCTGTCAATTGTGTCCATGGAGGCTGTGAAAGGTGCATTCATTATTGGAATTGTAACAATAGTTATCCTGCTGTTTGGAGCTGTCAGTTTTCTGATTTATCACAAACTTCAGAAGACAGAGTCATTTTTTATTGAAAATGGGCAAGCTCCTTATTCTCCTGTACCTCACATTCCTGTTTAGGAGGCAGCGAGGCCATCTCCTCCACATACACGTTATGATTAATTATACATTACATTACAAAACCTTATCATCAGCCCCTTTTGGTTGCCCCGTCAACTCCTATTCTCCCTCCAGTGACAGTCCAAATGCTCAATGAACCGTAATCAGTCGGCCCACTGCGTTCTGTCTCCCTCGGTTGGTTATTGTCTTTTTTCTGTTGTACTTTTAAGTGAATTTTGTTGCTGTGTATTTGTGCATGTGCAATGACATTAAGACATTCCGTTCAATTCCTAGAAAATCACCATGTTCCATCAATGGTGAGGTATTTTTGGACAAGGCTTGCTGGCTACTCATGTGGTCTTTGGAGGTTGCCTGGTCCCAGTGGGCATCAGGTTGGTGATCCCTGCTATGGATCAAACTCAAGCGCGTGTTGTCCATGATGCGGCGAGTGGTCTCAAATGGTTGCGTGAGGCAATTGGTTCCTCCTGACACGAGCTTTGCTGCTTCCATGTTTTAGCTTGAAAGTGAAAACTTTGTGCTGCCGCCGTTTGTCTCGGAACCACAGCTGCTCGCAGTAGCGCTCAGCCACCTTCCGCTCTTTGGTGCTGACTGGCCACGTTGCTGCGAGGCCCTGGGTGGAAGCAGGAGGGCCCTGGGTGGGGTGGAGAACACTCGCGGGGATGACATGGAGGCGGAAGCGACTGACTATGCGGACATATTTGCCTTCGCCGCTGCTACAAGTGTAGATGCCGTCGTCAGCCAGTTGGAGGCGCTGGAGCAGCAAACCTCCGCTGGTGCGCACAAGCCGCTCGTCCTTGCTAACTGGAAGCTGAGGAAAAAAAGGAGACCCTTCTTAAAGTCTATCGGTTGGTAGGAAGGAAAAATGTGAGTGGAAAAACTATCACTGCAAAGTTTTCAGGCCAAGACTTTACTATGACTTTTCATTTGGTCATGGAATTATTTGTTTGATTTTTTTCACCACTAATTTTATTGTTCTCGGCAGAGCACAGACACGAGAGAGAAAAAAATGCAATGATGCAAATTCATAAATGTGTGAGCTTCCTTGTGTGCACATTTTGTTGAACTCACATGATGGCGCTCATTCCTCCGTTGCAGCGTCCACGACAGCGCCGCCTGTGGAGAGCGATGGAAGCACTCCAGGAAGGACGCGTTTCCCTCCATGCCGTACATCACCTTCTCGTCGCCCAAAACTCAAGCACAAACACATCAGCTGGATTCAAGACCACGTCACGTCATAGTGCAGCTTCATGTGGAAAATAAATCGTCTGAATGATAATACATAACTTTTAATTATTGTAGTAAATTAGATTAAAATGTTTATAACTTACAATCATCTGTGATTGGACAACGACTCCAGGACTCGCCATATGCTGGGTCATGCCCCCGTGAACTCCTGACACGCACGCACGCACAGCCCCCCCCCCCACACACACACACACCCAGGAAAGTTGGCAAAAAAGACTGAGAAAGCTGAGGGCACGCGCTCATCCAAGATGGACTGATACAAAGTGAAAAAGTGTTGTGTGGTCTGTGACGGGTTGAGAAATTGAGAGCGTGCACGCACAAAATACCCACCCCCCCCCCCACACACACACACACACAGGAAAGTTGGCAAAAAAGACTGAGAAAGCTGAGGGCACGCGCTCATCCAAGATGGACTGATACAAAGTGAAAAAGTGTTGTGTGGTCTGACGAGTCCACATTTCTAATTGTTTTTTGGAAATTGTGGACATCATGTTGTCCGTTCAGTTCGTCTGTTGATTAGGAGCACTTGTGGTATTTTAGGATAAAGAGTCCATAGAGGGCTTAGAAAAGTTGCTATATTCAGCATAGCCACCAAATCACTATTTTGTCATCACTGACTGTACTTCTAGAATCAAGCTCCTCTCCATCGGTAGCCATGTTGTTAGTGTAACCAGTGCACATCAGCGAGGGAGGACACACTTTCAATAAACAAGTAAAAAAATGGCATTGCCAGATCCACTGAAAGTATAAAAGCAACGTGTCGCCCAGTACTCATTCACACCGAATTTGACAACAGAAACGGGCACGGAGAAGGGCGTTCCCTAGGCCGGGTCGGCACGTACCTGCGGCCGGAGACAAAGTGTGGCGAGCACGTCTGCCCGTCCCAGGCGCAGTACGGATCCCCAGACAAACGGCACTCGCTGCAGTCGGCGTACAAATGGCACCTGTGGAAGGAGAGCTGGGCCACGCCTCCTTCGCTGGAGACGTACAGCTGTTGCTGGGGCGGCAAACAAAAGCACCTTCGTAACTGATTTTCACATGCCTACGCCTTCCGCAAATAAGACATGAGCAATTCAGTCTTCATTGCTATCCTGTATAACAAAAAGTGCTGCAAAAAGAAAGAAACAAGAAAAATGTGTGCTTGTGCAGCTGTCTATTTTAACAAGAAAATCATTCATCATGTTTTGGTGGTACACAATGTGGAAACATTCCCAGTGCAGGCATTCACATTTATGGAGCAAGTGATGCCAAAAATTCATCTTGACAAAGCCTACTTGGAATGGATGACTGCTGTTTGGGAATGCAATCAATCAGCATCACTGAAAGTTGAGGAAATGCGAGAAGCGGACCTACTTTCTTGCTGGAGATTTTCATTTGGCGGATGGCAACTCCACTCTGGAAAGCAAACATATTCAAATTCACTATACAAATGAAAATGAATCAAAATGTCAAAACAGCGATTGGCAGCAAATCAAGACCCGAGCGTGGAATACATTCATTTAGGAACGACACACACATACACACAAGCGCCTGGACTTTCAAGTTGGCTTGTTCTGTGACCATTCAAAACAATCCTAATTCTAACAATCCTGCAGAAACATGGTCACATTATTTAATACAGAACCATCTCTTTTACTCTGTAAAAACAAACAAATAGCGACAGTAAAAACACCATTCCATCAAATGGGTACGCACGCCTCCGCCACCAGAGGGCAGTATTACAGTCTAACAGTCTTCTAGTACAAGATTCTATTGCAATAGTTTTGCCAGCCAACTGATGAGCAGTTGTGGTCTCTCAAGACACGCAGGACACACGCAGCCCGCTGCTTGCCTTGCTGTTCACTTGCAAATTTCTCATGCTGGAATTACAAGTTATCACTTCCTGACATGGGTCGTGCAAAAACAGCATTGATGGTATGTGTTCCTTAAGGAAAAATGGACATTTACAAAGTCACCTGGAAGACACTGAGTTCTTCCAGAAGAATCTCTTCCGTCGTTGAGGCCATGACCTTCAGCACCTTGCCGTCATCTGCAGGACACGCAAACAAAATAAATGAGAGATACATTTACTTCTGCTGACAGACATCACAAAGTGGGTGCATAAGCGTCAGCCGTCATCAGCCGCTACTTCGAGCTTGCCTGCAAAAGTCCGATGAAACCAAAACCAACCGTGTGGAAAGTCCGCTGAAACTTGAGGAGGTGACATGGTGCTTTCTTAGTATGAAGAGATTTAAAATACAGTTCCGTGCTAGCTTTAGCGCCACAACTTATCATTTTGTCTATTGTTTCGCTATTGTTGTGTTAGGAACGAGCTTCAGATATGCTGCCGTTTGAGCAAAATGAAAATCGATGCTGGCATGTGTGAGTCCCTGGCATGTGGGCAAGGAGAATGGAAGTGAGATACGGACCTGTTCCTAGGAACAAGACGTCAGTGGTTCGCCCCTCTATGTCCAGTCTGTCCACAAGCAGACTGGTGAGCAGGTACGACACGTTGACGCGCGTGAAGACCGGTCGCCCGCCCACAGGCAGGACGGCTTCCCACATGAGTTGGTGCCGCCGCATGAAGTTCACCACTTCATCTGGGAAGTCCTCAGTGGACTCGTGCAGAGCGTCATATGTCTCGCTGGGACACTGGAGGACCAGTCAGAAACCGCTCAGATTCATCAGAGGAGCATTCAGAGACCAGTCAAATTCACTGGAAACAAGTCTTGGACAGTCACTCATTCCAAGACGAGTGAGAGCAGGCACACTTTTTTTTTTGGGTGGTAGGAGAGCGGGTGCTAAATGTTCTTGTCATTATCATCACCTATCTACATAAACGCTACGCTTTGGGCATGCGGTCTAATATTGACCTTTGACCATATATTTCCTCCTCCAGAAAGAATTTGTTGAGAGTAACTTACAGCCCCAGGTCTGGGGTAGGGTATGCGGCCTTTGAACTCCACCCAGCGATGGTCGGGGCTGTCCTGGTGTGCGAACGGACCGTTGAAGGACGCGCGAATGCTTGCCATGGAGAAGGCGCACACGGC